CCTCTGTCCCGTCTTTTTTTAGGGTTAGGTTTTGGGTTTTAGGTTTTAGGTTTAGGCTTTAGGTTTTGGGTTTTAGGTTTTAGGTTAAGAGATGTTTTGGGTTTTAGGTTTTAGGTTTACTGTATAGGTTTTAGGTTTAGGTTTCAGGTCTTGGGTCTTCGTACAGCTTCAAAACCGCCCTCCCTGGAGTCTTTGCTGTTTGCTGCCTCTTTCGGGATTCGGTTTTCGGCTTTCGCTATTCGGTGCTCGGCCCGTCCTCGGGCTGATCTCCGCATCACGTCCCGCCCTCATGACTTGCCTAGCCAAACTTTGGTCACATTTGGATAGGAGTGGCGACGTGCACTTCACTTGCTGCAGACCATGATCCTTGAAGAGCTCCAGCCAGCCATTTGGATATCTGGAGTGTTGTCGTTGACAACCCTTTTATTGTAGTGTGCATGGGGCATGTCATAGGCTGAATAGTTGGGCATGCCACTCCGCAGTTCCAATCTCTCAAGGACACCATCAGTTACAACAGCGTGATCAATGCTTGCGAAAAGGACAGTGCCAATTGTGTTATGAGGTGGTAGCTGGGTTTCAGTGCTGAAGATTTGTGTGAAGTGCAGGATGGCCAATGGCAGCAAGCTCTCCATTTGCTGTTTGCAATGAAGATCGTGCAATTGGAGCCCGATGTCATCAGTCCTTGAGCGATGATGAGGGAAGTCTAGGTCCACAGCACAAGGGGAGACAAGAAAGAGAGTGGTCACAGGATATGCGCAAGCCAATTGAGGCTTCAGCTCCTCTCTCAGCGCCTGTGCCAAAGAAAGTCGCTGGCTGACAGCTTTGCAACACCTCCAATGGATGCGATTGGCCCAGGCCAGAACGAAGCCCCATTTGAAAGCAAGAATCGAAGCTGATTGCAGGGACTGGTCTTGACACGTCTTGACCTTGCAGGTGATCCCAAATGTGGTTACATTGACAGCTGCAATCACTGCATGTGAGGGCCACCTCCCAGATATGTCGCTCGCCCTCCTTGATATGATGTTCCAAGTGCTCCCTGGCAAAATTAGCAAGTCTTGGAAACCCACTTCTCGCGAGCCTTTGTCGATGAGCCGAGTGCATTCCAGGCAAATTCAGCCAAATGAAATTGCTTATACTTCCGCAATCAGTGCATGTCGGGACCTTGGTTTTTCTTGAGTCAGAGTGCCAGTGCCAGTCATAGGTGAGCCTTCTACAAGAACATTCGCTGCACGGTGTCGACCAACAACTCTGTCAGGTGCTGCAGATGATGACTGGTGGGCTGCTTGCTCCTTGTTAGAGGAAATGAACACTGTAGCTTTGGAGCCTGGCATCGTCAGCCGCCCAGCTCAAAAGAAGCTCAGAGGCGTAGGAGGTTCTGCCACACCACGGCAGCTTGGCTCCATCTGCTTGTCTCACAGACAGTGCTGGATGCAGTCACACGCCAAGGCTACGGCGCAGTTCTAAAGGCATTACCAGGAAGATGGCTCTGGGCGGCACAATTGCTCCGCAACGCCAACGAGTTGACGATAAGGATGAATGAGGTGGCATGTGGCTGGGTACATATTTTTCATGTAAATTTTGAGCTGGAGACCGAGGTTGGATCCCTGAACGGCTTAATGTGGTGATGCTGCCGTGTCGGTTCTGTAATGCCAAGGTACCGCTGCCATCGCTGCCACCAAGAAGACCAAGAAGTGGAAAATGGTGCTGCAGACACTGCAAGATGTCATCGGCACGCACCTGGAAGCTTGCCAGAGCTGGGTGGAGAGAAGCGTGGATCGCCCTTTGAGTGTTTGATGGATGAGTTGAGCTTCTAAGCTGGTTCATTTGACCGCACGGCTGGCATCGGCTGGCTTTATTGAGGCGTGTGTGCCTTTGTGCTGTTGGTGTGAAGGAGTTTCGCTGGAGCTGTCGCAGAGATTCGCGGAGATCTTCAACCAAGTCAGGTTTCGTGTGTTGATTGGCACAAGGGCCAGTTCAGAAAGTTGAAGATGCAACATGTACTGCCCCATCCGAATGACAGTACTAGTACTGTGTGTGAACACGCAAGCACTTCACATATGTTCTCACGCGGCTGCTATCGGACGCTGCCGGATAGCATGGAAAGTTATGCCGTGCACTCTTAGCGCCACAGATCTGAAAGACGCCTAAGTCATGAACCAACGGTTTCCGAAAAGGGAAGCCCTGTATATAATGCGCCTGTGAAGGTAACGGCATATGAGTACTAGACTATATTATATTACTATATATTACTATATTAATTAGATTAATGCAGCCGATTCGCAGTTCGGGGACTGTGTTGCCCAGCAAAAAGGGGGGTGCAACCATGAGCTACAGCTAGTGATGACAGTTACAATAAAGGTGCCCCGGAGTTGCTGAGTCTTTGTTTGCATTTGCATTCTAGGGCAGTTGATGGCGGCTGGGTTCCGAGGACATGGATTTGGCAAGCATGGCCATTACCTGCATCGAGGATCAATGGCAGCATGCTTTGAGATTTCTGGGCCCCCCAGATGCAGCTTCAAGTGCGGGCTGCAGGGGGGGGCGAATATGCCTGTAAAGAGGGCGGTTCAAACTGCTTTAAAGCGCTTTGGCTTTTTGAATTCCAGTCTGAGTATGTCTGAGTTTTACCTTGCAGCTGCAGCTAAGGTGAGGCACGACCTCGCAGTCTGGAAGTGGACACTTCGCGAGCATTTTTATGCATCTTGCGGAGAGTTGTTTGGAGCTTGAATTCGGTCCTTGGGGCAGAGATGAAGAAGCCATGAGTTGAAGGGTGGGTTGGTTTCCCCAACAAGGACAAATGCGGTTTGGCTCCAGCGTGAGAATCTTTGTCACTCCTGCATGGGGATACTTCCCTCAAACTTAGGATCTCGTGGCTCAGAACGCAGTCCTCAGTGCATGCGACCAATGGTTCAAAAGCATACAGCTCTTCAATGATGCACTGTGAAGTCCCCAGTCCACTTTGCACAATGACGCAACAGGTCTGTGCACATACCACCACACGCCAAGCAGTTTGATGTCACTCATGAAACGGACGCAAGAGGGCATTTTCTACATCACATAACTATGATCAGGTGTTAGATCCAACGTTCTTTTTTCAGCAGAACTTTTTGTGGGGCCTTGTGGCACTTATCTAATTATATATGTACATTGACATGTGGAACAGGTCAATAACAAACCGCCTCATAATGAGAGGTCCAGCACTGACATGAGGCTTTTTAAAAGTGGATTCACACAAGCACCAGAGGCCGGCGATGGGATTTGAGCTTGATTCTGTGTCCAGTGGAAGTGTTTTGACTGGCTATGCACGAGGCAGGGACATCGCTTTTCAAGGTTAACGTTTGCTGTCAAGCGTTCCTTGACATTCCTTGGTGAACCCAGAGGCCGGAATTGGCAGCGTACGCTGCACTTGTTGGCGTGGATGAGGTCTAGGCTGGCGGTTCTGATGTTCTTCTCACTTGACCGACATTTACTGTGGAATTTAGACAAAAAGGGCAGCAACTGCCACCCAACTGCATGTGAGACATTTGGAGTTGTTTGTGGGAAATCAGAGCAGGGTATTTTTGGAACAGGAGTGTGACAGATGATATCACTTGCACCGCTGCGGTCAGTGCAACTGCGGATGTCAAGTCCAGCTCTTTCTTTTTAGTTGACCTCGATGCCCGCTTAGTATTGCATTGTCATGACGTCCACTTCAGCTGAGTTTGTTGTGTTCCAAGACAAAATCGCCATGAATCTTCTGAGGCATGCACCACGGGCGGTCTTTGGGAACAAGCCTTGAGAGTTTTAAGCTCAGCAAGATCGGCCGCCATGCACCGGCTGGCAAGTCTCACCGCTCTTCACTTCTAGGAGAAGCTTGAAGCTTGATGCTGGACAGGTCTGGCTGCAGCAGCCAAGTCTGCCAAAATGCAGCCCAAGCTTTATTGAATTTTCGTTTTACTGCAGCATGCTGCCTTAAGCTGAAGCTTGCGGTTCCGCAAGTATATATGACTACTGTAACGTCCTGTAGATCAAAATCCCTTGGTGCGAGGAGCTTTCTGTTAGAGGACAGATGTGCTGAGGAATGAGGAAAATTTGGCAGACCAAGCACTGGCACTGCTACAGTACACTGCTAGACTGCCAGAACGGACAAAACCCAGTTATAGTCCCCTCGATGCGATATCTTGCAGAAGTGGCACGCGACCTGTAGATTTGGCTTCCTGCGAGGGCAGACCAAATTTTTGTAGTCACAACCTGGGAAAGTAGCAGAGCACACTATTGCCTCATGGAATGGTGCTGAAAGAGCTACATGGAGTTCATCCCGCCTCCAACTGGGCTGATACAAGCATTGTTGGAATTGAAGCCACCAGCAACTCTGATAGAAAAACATGTGTGAGTCATTCGTTGGCGAACGTGGCATGTTGCATGTTATTCACGTTAATCCTTCCTTGAACGTCAGGTAGACCAGGAAGATGTCTGCCAACTGTTGGAGCCGCGCGTGGCTGACCTGCTGCTCGATCGCAACATATAAGTTATTGGGGCCAGGCAAGCATGTTGTTTACTCAGGCTCAAGCGCCCCGATTTGTCTACGCATGTGTTGCGAAGTTTAGCACGAAGACGGCGCCATGACTTATCGCAACAAATGCTCCAAGCCATGGCCAGCGCTCATCTCGAGGCGGAGATTTCGTGCTCGTGTCAATGTCCGCGCCCTATGTCCCTTTTTAGCTAGGACCGCTAGGGCCGCTAGGGATAGATCA